ATTCTTTTTCTCCATCCAGTTTCACATAAAGATGGTCACCAGGTTCTAGGTCTGGTAGTTTTCTGAGTGATGTCTGTTGTAAAAGTGTTCCTAAGCTCTCCTTTTCATTCGATTTGGTTACTCTCTACATGTCTGGCAACTTTGGAGAAAGATTATTTCAAAAGTTGGGAGGGTCGTTCTGAGTTTTTTTCCCATCAGGAGTTGTGCTGCACTATATCCAGTAGTTGCTATTGGTGTTGATCTTTAATTCAGTAGAGCAAAGAATGGATCTTCCTGTTGAAGGATATTCTTGGCTGTCTGTACAGCTCTCTCATCCTCTCCATTCGCTTGTGAGTAATATGGGCTTCTCGTAATATGAGGAAGGTCATATTTTGTTTGGATAAATTAAATTTTATTTCAGTGAGTTGTGGTGCATGCTCTGTCACAAGTTCTTCTGGAACCCTGAAATGACCAAAAGTGCACTTCAGTTGCTCTATAACACTCTGGTATGTTACATCTTTCATGTACACTATTTCTATACACCTGGAAAATAGTCCACGACTACCAGGTAAAGATGTCCCCTGAATTCACATAAATCTGCAGCTAGTCTCTTCCAAGGTCTCTTTCATTCAAACTAGCTCCTTGTTAATGTCACTAATTACTACTGGCCATATCTTTCTTCCCGCCACCTTCAGGGAAAGAGCTATGGGAGCCTGAGGGGGAATTTTTCTCCCAAGGGCAAATTTAACAGCAGCTCTGGAGTGTTTCATAGCTGATATCCTGAACCTGGCCTGCCCGTACCTGTGCATTTCTGGAGATGTTGACAGTCATTCACTGCAAGTCACTGGGATTTGGGCTCCTAAGTTGCTGGGACACATTTTAAATAGTGCTGGGTGTACTTTTGGCGGTAGTTTATTTGCTGATAAAATTATATTTTGGGTTGACAGAAACTATTCCTGAATCCATGTCAAGATTGCTGAATAGTTTCAATGACCAGAAAAAGGTGCTGCCCCTTCCCTTCTAGCCTTTAGCCCAGTGGCAGGGTTCTCAGCTGGGAGTCCCAGGTTCAATCCCCCCAGGTGCTGTGGGGAAGGAACTGGAAAGTGGGTCTACCCCTGTCTCAGGTGAGGGTTGGAACCGCTGGGCTCTGGGTGTCTGATGTGGAGCTCCCTCAATCTCTCCTGCTGAAGATGTCCCCCTGTGTCTAAACACTGCCATGGGCACTGGGCCAGAGTGTGGGAGTGAGAATGACTCTGCAGCCCAGTGGGTTGGGCCCCACCTGGGAGCCCAGAGTCCAGCTCCCCTGCTACAGTGACACTGCAATTATTGATCCATAACCCCAGTGAGGGGAGGGATTACGGCCCCTGTCACAGCAGTGTCTAAGCCATATTGATGCCCCACTGCAAACCCCTAGTGCAGATGTGCTGCGCAGGTGTGAACTGAAACTGGCCCCTGGTGCAGTTTCTCCCAGATGGAGGGGGCAGCAAGTGGGGAAATGCCCCCTCCCCTCCCTACTGCCCCAGCCTCATTAGGAATGACCCCTGTTCCCCCCAGCACCCCTCAAGTCTCATTCCCCCACTACCCTGCCCCCTTCCAGCGACCCGAGACATCCTGCCTGTGCCCAAGCATGGAGAGTCCCAGCTGCGCCCCGTGGGGCAGGGCTGCACCCCAGTGTGTGTGGAAATGGCACCGACCTGCTCTTAGCAACAAACCAGCCACACACGGCCCCAAAGCAACAGAGATTCCCTGGGGCCTGCCCCCTTCACCTTCTCTCCTGTCCCCCTTCACCTCCCTCTCCCGCCCTGGCACCTGCCTCTCCCTTACCCTTCCCTCACCGCTGTGCCCACCTGATCGCTGCCTCTATCCTGTCCCCTCACCCTCACCCCAAACTCCTGCTGCTCCCCTGGGCCCCTGCCCCTCTCCCCCCATCTTGTCTTCTGGCATATTTCCCTGCCCTTCACCCACCTCTGCCCCCCGGCACCTGCCAATCTCCTCATGCCCCCTGTGTCCTCTGGATCCTGCTCCTCCCTTACCCTTCCCTCACCCCTGTGCCCACCTGGCCCCTGCCTCTATCCTCATCCCTTCCCTTCTTCTCACCCCCTTTCTGCTCCCCTTGACCCCTGCCCCTCTGTCCCCACTTTACCTCCCTGGCACATGCCTCTGCCCCCCTGGAACTCACCCCTCCCTTCTCCCCCGCCACCATCCTGGCACCTGCCCCCTCTCCCAAACATCCTTTGCACCCTGGAGCCCACCCATCACTTTACCTCCCTGCTACCTCTTGGCATGAACCTCTCCCCTTTCTCCCTCAGCTGCCATATCTCCCACCCCTCCCCTCACCCCCTCTGCCTCTTCTTGCCCCCCACCCCTCACCCTCCTCTGCTGTCTTGGCTCCCGCCCTTCTCACCCCACTCAGCCCCGCCTGGTATCCATCCCTCTCCCCACCCTCTCTGACCCCTGGCACCCGCCCCTTCCCCCATCCCCCTGTGCCCATCCCTCCTCTAGCCCCACTCTGACCTTCTGGCTCCTGCCCTTCCTCGATCCCCTCTCCTAACACCTCCCTTTGCCCACCACTCCCATCACCCCCCTCTCTGCCCCCTGGTGTCTATCCCTCCCTCCTCCTACCCTTCTGCTCAGCCCCCTCAATCTCCCTGGGCACCTGCCCCTCCTCTTGCCCCCTTCCCCCCAGTGCCCATCCCCCTTCACTCCCTCTGCTCTCTGACGCCACTCTCCTCATGCCCCTCTGCTCCCATGACTTGCCCCATTCCCTGCCTTTCTCATGCCCACCCCTCCTTTCACCCCCCATCTGCTGGCACACACTCCTCCCCACCCCCTTCCCTCCTTTTCTCTGCCCCTTCCTTTTCCCCCTTCTGTTCCTCTGCACCTGCCTCTCCCCCTACTCCCCTGGCGCCCACCTTTTCCCTTGCCCCCTTCTGCCCCCAATATCTGCCCCTCCTCTTGCCTCTTGTTGTCCCTGGTGCCTTCCCCATTCCATGCCACACCAATGTCCCCCTGGTGCCTGCCCCTCCCCTGCCTCATTGCTCCCTGCCCACCTGCTCTCCCTCCTGTGCCCCCAGCATTCACTCGTCCCTTTGTACCCCTCTAGCCCCCTGGAACTCACCCCTTGCCTTTCCTTCCTACCCACTGATGATCACACCTTCCCTCAGCCCCTGCTCATTTGCCTCTTGTGCTTTCCCCATCCCACATCCCACCACTTTCCCCCAGCACCCACCTCTCCCCCACTCTGCCCCCAGTTCCTGCCCCTTCCTTCTCCCACCCCGGTCCCCACTTCTCCCCTTGGCACAAGCCCCTTCCCTCACCCCCACCCCCTGGTGCCTGCCCATTCCCATTCACCCCACCACCACCTTCCCCTTAGTTCTTCCCCCTCCCTCCCCTCACCCTCTGCCTCCCTGAAACCTGCGCCCCTCACCCCCCCTTTAGTCCCCTGGTGCCAGCCCCTCTGTTCACTCCTCCTCTGCCCCCCTGAGGGCCATCTCTACCATAGCCCCCATCTGCCTCCATGGTGCCTGCCCCTTCCCTTGCCCCCTCTGCCCGCCTGGTGCAAACCCCTTCCCTTGCTCCCCTTTGGGTTCCCTGGTGTCTCCTAACCTCTGTGTCCCGTCCCTCACCTCACCCTCCCTCTGCCCCCCGGGTGCCCACATCTCCACACCCCTCTGCCCCTAGGGCCTGCCCTTCTCCACACCCCACTTTCTGCCCCCCTGGTGCCCACCCCTTTCCTCTCTCCCCTCCTTGCATCTACCACTCTGCTCATCCCCACCATCCCTCCTGGTGACTACCCCTTCCTCCTCCCACTCTGTCTTCCTGGCACCCACCCGTCATGCCCCTCTCCCCCTTTATAACTGCCCTTTACCTCGTTCCACTCTTGCCCCCTGGGGTCTGCCCCTCCCCTTGTCATCCCATGTCCCTCTGGCAGCTGTCCTACCCCTCACCCCTCTTTGTCCCCTTGTCACCTGCGCCATCTTCCACCCCCTCCTTTTCCCCTGGTGCCAGCCCCTCCTTCTACTCCCCCTCTGCCTCCTTAGCGCCTGCCCCTCTGTTCACCCCTTGTGTCCCCTGGTGCAAGCCCCTTCCCTTCCCCCACCCCTCAGTGCCACCCGCCCCTTCTCTAGCCCACCCTTTGGACCCCTGGTGCCCACCCCTCCCTTCATCTCTCTTTTTCCCTTGGCACCAGTCCTGCCTCTCACTCATACTCTATGGCCCTGATGCATGCACCTCCCCTTCCCCCTTGCCCCCCCATGCCTGCCCCTCCCATCATCCCTTTCTGCCCTCTGGCACATGCTCCTCTGCTCATCACCCTCCACCCCCCCGCAACCTCCTCTTGCCCTCCTCCACCCACTGCTGATTGCCCCTGCCCTAGCCAACCCCTCTGCCACCGGACTCCTGCCTCACTCCATCACCCTGGTGCCTGCCCATTCCCTCCCACCATGGTCCTGGCACCTGCCCCACTCCTCATCTCCCCCACCCCCTGGCACCGGTCCCTCCCCTTGAGTCACCCCTGCCCTCTGGAGCCCCCCCATTCCCTCACATCTCTCTGCCCCCTGGTGCTGCCCCTTCCCTTGCTTCCCTGTGTCCCCTGGGGTCTGTCCCCTTCTTCTGTCCTGGTGCCCACCCTCCCCTCAGCCCCTGGGAACCTGCCCCTCCCTTCACTCCCCTCTGTCCTGCTGGTGCCCGTCCCTTCCCTTGTCCCCCCATTGCCCTTGTGCCCGCCCCTCCCCTATGTCCCTCCCTCCACCCCCTCTGTCCTCCTGGTGCCCGATCCTCTTTTCCCCCATTGCCCTTGTGACTGCCACTCCCCCCTCTACTCCTGTCACCTGCCCCTCCCCTTTCCTCTCCTGGCATCAGCCTATTCCCTCCCCCACCCCTCCCCTGCTCCTCCTGCCCTTTCCCCCTCATTGTCTCCTCACCAGCAGACGGGCCCTGACTCCCCTCAGGCCACAACACCCCTCCCCTCCCGAGCAATTAACCGGGATGCAGGTTAATTTCCCTTTGGTCCCAGTGACCAGCCCCTGTCTCCGGCACTGACTCTGTGACTCTCTCCCCAGTGGACGTGACTCTGGATCCAGACACCGCAAATCCCTGGCTCGTCCTGTCTGAGGATCGGAAACGTGTGAGACGCGGAGACACATGCCAGGATCTGCCCAACAATCCTGAGAGATTTGATACGTACCCTGAAGTTCTGGGCACTGAGGGGTTCAGGGGAGGGAGGTATTACTGGGAGGTGGAGGTGGGAGACAAGACGAGATGGGACCTGGGGGTTTGTAGGGAATCTGTGAGCAGGAAGGGGCCGCTCACATTCACACCTGGAAATGGATACTGGGTCGTGTGGTTGAGGGATGGGGGATACAGGGCCCTCACCTCCCCCTCGACCCCCCTCCCTGTGAGCGTCAGGCCCACCCTGGTGGGGATTTTCCTGGACTATGAGGCGGGCGAGGTCTCATTTTACAATGTGACTGACAGGACCCATCTCTACACTTTCACTGACACCTTCTCTGGGAAGCTCCACCCTTATTTCTGTCCTGGTCAGATCGCTGGGGGTACAAACGCGGCTCCCCTGATAATCTGCCCGGTCCCAGCTCAGGCCGGAGGGAATCTCTGTCCCTGACAGCGACACCTGCGGCACAGACTGTCCCCTCCCCGTGCTGCTGCTCTTCCCACCCCCCAGCGGTGGGGGCCAGTTACTGCCGGGAACCAGACTTTGTGCTGACCGGACGCTGCCAGTTTCCCTTTTCAACTGGAGGTTCCAGTCAAAAACCAGACATCTAGGAACCCCCAGCCTTCACCTTTCCCCGTCTCCTGCCCCAGGGGTAGCAGATGGGGGTGGATGGGGTGCATTCAGTCCTGTCAGAATTTTCTACCCCTGTGAAATCTCAATGTAAAATATGAAAGGAAAAAGATTATTCTAATTTAGAAAATATTATTGTAACAAGGTGTAAATACAAGAACATTTTAATTTACATTTCAACAGCATTTCAAAAAGAAGCATCTAAACATATTTTTAGAAATGGAATTATTTACATTTATTTTTTGATTCCTCCCTCAAATCTATATTGAAGTTTAACTTCTGTAAATAACGTCATTTGTATTTCAACTGTGGAATTTCAAGAAATCCAAAACATTTATCTTAACAAAATAAACTATTAAATTGTCAGACTGGGTTGTTCAGTTACAATGTACATGTGTCATAAACATCACAACTACACACATGTGCAGCTGCTCTCTCTCTCTCCTGCATCCCCTCACCTTTATTGTCTTGAATTGTTCTCTCTGGAAGGCAGGGCACATACACCCACTTCCTGCACTACATCTTTGAAAATTTATAGGTGAAAAAATGATAGAATTAATTAAGCAATATATTTAAATTAACTCACACAAGATTATATAATATTCTTTGAACTTCTGTCAGCATTAATTCATGTGATTTTTAACTTTTTAGCTACTGTGACAGACCCAGACCAGTGGGGTACAGGAGTTTGGTAGAGGGCAAATATACTGGTCACTGCATGAGTAGGTTTCTGTTCCCTGAGTGACCAGAAAAGGGGCTGCACTAGAGTAAGCAGGAACCTGCTAGAACCAGTTAACTCAGGCAGGCTAATTAGGACACCTGGAGCCAATTAAGAAGAAGCTGCTAGAATCAATTAAGGCAGGCTAATCAGGGCACCTGGGTTTTAAAAGGAGCTCACTTCAGTTTGTGGTGTGAGGAGCTGGGAGCAAGAGGTGCTGAGAGTGTGTGCTGCTGGAGGACTGAGGAGCACAAGCGGTATCAGACACCAGGAGGAAGGGCCTGTGGTGAGAATAAGGAAGGTGTTTGGAGGAGTCCATGGGGAAGTAGCCCAGGGAGTTGTAGCTGTCATGCAGCTGTTACAGGAGGCACTATAGACAGCTGCAGTCCACAGGGCCCTGGGCTGGAACCCGGAGTAGAAGGTGGGCCTGGGTTCCCCCCAAACCTCCCAATTGACCTGGACTGTGGGTTCTTCCAGAGGGGAAGGTCTCTGGGCTGTTCCCCAACCCACATGGTGAATCTCTGAGGCAAGAAAATCCGCCAATAAGTGCAGGACCCACCAAGATAGAGAAGGAACTTTGTCACACTACATATAATTGGTAATCAACATATGACCCTTCCTTTCTTTTTCTCACATCAATTAACAAAACAGGGTCCCCAACTCAAATGCTATCTTCCTATCAATAGAAATCTTTTCTACAATCTCCATTTTTTTTAGTTTATTTTTCTTTAGAAATATTATTTACAAGCAATGGACTGTCACTGTGCACTGTTGATTTCAATGTACTGCTGGGCTCTTCATGTTCTTGGTTATAAGGATGCAACAAATGTAGTTTGATGAAGAAATAGAGAAGGGGTTGTATTTGTTTACTGAATCATCACAAATTAACTTTAATTTTATTCAATATGCTGGCACTTAATGACACACAACATGAAATTTGGTGAAGCTTTATTGGGAAACCTTTCTTCTCGCCCATAAATCAGTCGAAAGGGTGATATTTTTGTTGTCATGTGAAGTTTAGAATACCAAGAAAATAAAGTTGCTCCAGGAAATTCATCACAATTCCTCTGGGTTCTGTCCACCACCTTCTGGAATGCTCTGTAAAAATAGTGACCGATTGGTCTAATTCCTTGAAATTAGTGGTTGAGCCTAATTTCTTGAAGAGCTAGCTGAGCAGAGTATGAGGGGAGGCACATTGCATGGCATTGCTAAGACTACTTTTTGTTTTAAATGTGATGTGTGATGAACATTTTCAATGTAATAATTCAGTTTTGAAGATTTATTCACAATATGCCACTCATGGCAGTGTGCCCTAAACTTACCTTGATTATCTGAAAATAAATACCCTAAAATTATCTTTTGTGCTTTTTAATCCAGTCTGCTGGTGTCTAGGTGGCATGGGCTGCTGAAGCTATGTGTTCTTGCTTGTTTTTAACACAGGGAAATTTTAATCTAAAATAGATAATTTTTCCCTAAAATTTCCTTCAGAAATATCTGTGTTCCTTTCCCTATTTCTCACTGACTTATGTGTAATTACTGTGCTTTCTTATCCAATCTTATTGTGTTATTACATGGGGAAATATGTTGGCAAATAAGTTAATATACAACATGGTTTATACTATCTGACAAGACATAAAAATGTGGTGTCACTCACAATTTACAGCATGAAGTATCATGAAGAGATTGCAGGCAATGTTCATTTTTAAATTTCTAACTATGAATGGGCTCCCCCATCAGTTCCTGCAACCCCTGGCTGGCAGACCTCTCTGTGAATTAAGCAGCAGGCAGTCTGCCAGGGAACCTCCACCAAGTGTCTTTATGACTTTTTATGGTGCATCACAACATAGCAGCAGCTACGAGGAGCCCCCTTCCTGCTCCCTGATTCAGACTTTTATACTGCTGCTTTCTTCTCAGCGCTGAGCTAGTGACCTCATCAGGTGCAAGTGATCTCCTCTTCCCTTCCAAATCCAAACTGCTCAGTCCATCCTACTCTCACTGCACTGCACCCGGTGCCCTGGGTGTTCTCAGTGACCAGGGTGCTGGCTTCCAAAGGGCTCAGTTTGTAGCTGCTAACAGCTCCCGTTACACTGCCATGATTGTGTAACTGACTGTGACAGCATACCCCATAAGGCTTTATGGGGGGGGGTGTTTATAAATGTATGTATGATATAACTGAAATATGTTTTGTGCTGCCTGTGCCATGTAACATATCTCCGTAAAGGTTATGGTCTACTATATCTATTCATCCTATTTGTACATGTATATATCATTTTCTACTTGAGGTTAAGAATATGGGCTGTATGCTTGCTTGGTTTCTAAGTAAGCTTTGTGAGGCATTTGGTCAGCTTCTTTAGGAAGGAATTCGCCAGGTTAAGTACCTGATCAGGAAACACTTGGGGAACAATGCATCTTGGAATGCTCCAATCCACATGAGAAGTCTTCCTGGATACATGCAAGATACCATGTGGACAATGGCGTTGGCCTGTAAAGACTGAGTCATGCAGGGGCATGTGACTTGCCCAGGTGACTCCAGAACTCCATCTTGGAGCTGGACTTTGCATAGGAGGGAGGAGGGGGGTCTCCACCCAGAAGAGTCTATTTAAACCCGTGGGAGACCTCTCCATTTTTGTCTTCAGCTGGCTAAAGAAGGAGCCTCTCCACCCCCCCAGGATACTTGAAGGGGACTGAAACAAAGGACAGTAACTACAGGGGGTGTGAGTGATTGCTGGACCCAGGCTAAAAGGAGATTAGCCTGTAAAAGGGAGCATTCTGGAACTGGTGAGGAAATTATCTGTATTTAGTTTGATTAGACATAGATTTGTGCATTTTATTTTATTTTGCTTGGGGACTTACTTTGTTCTGTCTGTTACTACTTTGAACCACTTAAATCCTACTGTCTGTATTTAATAAAATCACTTTTTATTTAGTAATTTACTCAGAGTATGTATTAATACCTGGGGGAGCAAACAACTGCATATCTCTCTATCAGTGTTATAGAGGGCGAACAGTTTGAGTTTACTCTGCATAAGATTTATACAGGGTAAAACGGATTTATCTGGGTTTAGACCCCATTGGGAGTTGGGCATCTGAGTGCTAAAGACAAGCACACTACTGTGAGCTGTTTTCAGGTAAACTTGCAGCTTTGGGACAAGTGATTCAGACCCTGGGTCTGTGTCTGGAGCCAGATGGGAGTGTCTGGCTCAGCAAGACAGGGTGCTGGAGTCCTGAGCTGGCAGGGAAAACAGAAGCAGGGGTTGTCTTTGCACATCGGGTGGCAGCTCCCAAGGGGGTTTCTGTGATCCAACCCGTCACATTGACCATATAGTGAAAATAACACCAAATGTAAACTGTTACCTCATGATTCAATTCAGAACCTAGGTCTGCCAGTATCTGCTCTGGACAGCCATGTTGATATATAATTTCACATGTCGTCTTCTCCACCTCATGTGCTGTCATAGTTCTAAGTGGAAATTCTTCTATATTCTTTTGAAAAATTATCTATAGCTGTCAGTACATGTTGGTATCACTTCTGTGGTACTGGATAGAGCCTGATTAAATCTTCTGTCAGCAAGTCCCAGGGATTAACAACCTATGTGCAAGAACACAGGCTAGAATTATCATTTGGATCTTCCCTATGACATTTTTGTTATAATCCCATATATAGTAAGCAAAGTAAATGTTATAATGTGGATTCTATAATAGTTGATGTCTCCACCCACTCAGAATCTAACTTTTGGTGTTTTTTAGAAGTAAATAAATACAGGCCAAACTTCTACAACTGAAAACTTGCATAAATTCTCTGTGGAGGGGCGGTGAGTTATATGGGCTGGTGGTGCCTGGGCTCCAGCAATACTCAGGGCCCGGGAGCCCAACTCCCAACAATGTCTGAGGCCGGGTCTCTCCCACAGCCCCACCTGCCGTCCCCACACCTCCCCTGGAGCGTCCCTGCCTGCACCCTGTGCAGCGTATGGCTGCCCTGCCGCTCCGTGCTGCGCTACCTCACAAGAAAGGGACCAGCACAGGCAGCAGGCTGAGGCATCTGCTGCACCTGCAGAGGGAGGAGGGGAGGAGGCACACATGTTATAGCAGCCCCCCTCTCTCCCTGGCACCCACCTGGATATGACTCTGACTACGACAGGGCTTTCTGGACTTGAGCGGCTGGGGCTTCGGTCAGTGTTGGACTCATGACACCCTTCCCCCCGCCTGCAGTCACCATTCCTGCCCCATGCTTGGCAAGGGGCAGCCCCATCCCCCACTGAACAACGATGAAAAGTGTTTGCTGCCCCCTGAAGAACATCGCAAAAGAAGGGGCTACATTTTGTTTTAGTTTTAGAAAGTATTTGCTTTTGAGGGTTATTGATCTAAGAGTGCTGGGTTGTTTCCATATTCAAAACAGTATTAATAAAGTTGATATTCTTAGTTAAATAAAATTCTTATTATAGTGATATTGTGGAATAGAGGGAAACTGTTAAACGCCTACTGTTTCCAGTCCATTTTTACATTATTTTAAAAAATATCGATTGGCTTACAAGGGGGGGGGGGGCGGCAGGACTTGGACCTGTTCTGAGCACC